TTTGTGAACCTAAATTCGACCCCAAAACCCCAAAACCCCATGAATGCTTGTAAAAAAGTAAATTGGTTGTCAGAAAATAAATCGAGTGAAATATATTTCCACATGAGTTTTAAAAAGAAGGTAAGACTCAGATTTATTAATCTGAATAAATAATAAAGTAAACAATATTTATAAGTAATTCGATCATCCATTCTTAATATGCAAACTTTGATAGAAATACCCATAGCTACTGATGGCAAGTCATTGCAAATTCTATTCAAGCCTATCAACTTAAGAGCATAAAACAACCTTTAGCCCCTCTACGATTAATCAACTGGAAAATAGATTAGCTAAATCACGTCTCAAGAAAATCAAAGTAGAGGTGACTCCATTAACAGTAAAAAGTTGAATAGAAATAAAAGATTCAAACTCCATTCAGTTTAATATTCCCCTAGATAGCTTCCATCCATAGAAGATTCTAAAATTTTTGGGCCAGTTGATTTTGATAGGTTAATTGAGAGTTCAGGGGCAAGTGTTTTAACTAGTCCCAAGGAAGGTTAAGGCTTTAATACTTTGAAGTCTCTTATTAAAACATAATAAGGATTTCTTCCTGTTAATGAAAGGCGATTTGCAACATTCATTAATCGAAGAAACTCAATGAGCAATGCTACAAAAATGGGGCAATCAACCAAAGTCTCCTCCAATTTGAAAGCAAGTATATAAATGAATGATAGTTTTATGAGCACCAACCCTAATCTACTGAGTGGATCAAACATGAACTCCAATTATCACTCACATGTTCGATAGCAAGAAGTAATCAACATTCCAATGGTTCATCTTTCAACTGCTCAATCTAATTATCAATCGCTCAATGATGATTAAGCAATGAACTTTTCAAAAAGACATGGAAATGAAGTTATGAATGTTAGAGGATAAGAATCAAGGCTACAATAAAGATAAATAATAAATCGAACTTAGAATTCCTCATCTAGAAGATGTAGATATTAAAGAAATAAAAATTTGGCTGGACCATTAAGTCCTCCACCAGAATCGATCAACAATAGGTTCGAATCATTTACATAGACAGAAGAGGACCCTCATTAAACTGTGATATCACCAGATATATATCTTGCTAAGGAGAATGTAAAGATAGAGGACGATCCATTTCTAATGAGTCATTAGTATGACGCCACTGAATTAAAGCGCCTCAAAGATGTAAGATTTCAAGAGTATGAGGATGCTTAAAGTATTAGACGAAGTATCTATACTCGTCGATTAACAGTTGATTCTTAGATGGACAAGTATAGTGCTTTTGATGAGAATGGCCAGATGGTCAGAGATGTCAATGCAACAAAAGAGAAACGATTGCTCTTGAAAAAATCTATTTTACTTCCAAGAGGTGAATTCGACAAAGATTGCAGAAGAAATCAGTTTATTCAGCATATGCCTGTTTTAGAAAGAGAGGGTCTAATAGATAACCCTGATTAGATTGTTTAAATAATGAGGATGACAGCGAAACGTTCTAAGGAGTAGGATGAGAATGAACATCATCTAAAAGCCAAGAAAAAGACCATAGTGTCAGATATGAACGAGGAGGAAATTATCTAGAAGCGGATTGAATAGCGCCAAAAGTTCTAGAATGCTAACAGTTTGACTAGTAAAGCAAACAAGGAATGCTGCTAGATACCGATTATAGATAACTCATTTTAGATCACTACTTAATTGTCCCCTAAATATCTACAAACCACATTAATAGATAAGATTAAACAGAGGTAAGGAACTCAGAGAATCTCTTCATCTTGGAATCGAAGAAATTAGATCCAAAGACCAGAGAGTGTAGATTCTGAAAAGATCAAAAGCCTTATGAACAATGATAAAGAAGTAAACAAGGAACACATAATGAAGCTATGTCGTTAAGAAGTAAGTTAGCTTTTGAAGACAAAGCTAAAGTACAGAGACTTGGATGTTCGAAAGAGAGTTCAGGAGCAGTACTTCGATAAGCTTAGAATGATTATGACTATTTTCCCCTAAAACTAGAAGAAGTGATTTACTTATATTGACTCGAATGAATCTCCTTATTATGAATTTTTACCTTAATTTGATTAAAATAGTGCTTAATTCAAAGTATTTAATTAATATTGTTAATTATTAAAAAAATGAATTATTACTCTATGGAATTGCTCATTAATTCAACTAAGTGGGGTTTTGGGGTTTTGGGGTTTTGGGC